TTTTTAATATAAAGAGAAAGAATAGATATAGATAATTGATAAATTTTTATCTTTTATTAATATTAAGATTACGAATGAGTTTCTTTTAATTTTTATTGTGATGCTTTAATGGAATAACATAGTTTGAGATGTTTTTTCTTTTAATATTTTTGGAAGTTTGTTGACAAAAATTAATTTTTAAGTTTTATATATAATTTTTGCACAAAAAATTAATTTTTTTATTTACCTACAGTAAATGATTAAGATTTATCTACTTTTTTTATCTTTTTTTAAAATAAAATTAAATGTTTTATCCTATAAAATGTCGTAACAAAACTTAATCATTAATAATAAAAAAATTGAATGGTTATGCTTTTGTGTAAGATACTTTTGTGTAAAAGGATGCTATATATCTATTCTTTAATAATAAGAATTCAAAAAATTGTAGTATAGTTTGGATTATATTAGATTGTAATACATTAATCATATTCAATAATTCTTATTGCCTCCAAGATGTGGTTTAATAATTAAGTGTTTAAAATTTTAAGTTGAAAATTTTAAATTTGAATTTTAAGTTTAAATCTTAAGTCAAGTAAGGAGAGATTTAGGAAAAAAAAAAGATATCTCCTTTTATATAACTCGAATTTATCATATATATAAAAAAATATTTAATATTTCTTATTTTATAGTCCGATATAGTTTATATAGTAAAACATAATAATTTTATAATAATTTCAAATTTTATTATAGTAGTTATATATTTTTCTTTTTGATCAGCAAAACGAAGATCAATATATTAATTTTGGGAGTACAAGGGATACTCCAACCCATATACAAAGATAAAATCCTATATTGGCATTTTCAGAACAGACCAACCAGCCAAAATTAGCATAGCTGACCTGAACCAGCAACTCATGCATGTCTATATGAAGACCTCATATTAAACGTTGATGCTGCTTTTGGAAACCCTTCAACATCCTCTTATACCGTCTAACAGCCAAGGCACAATCAATTGGATTCATCTGCCACTCATACAAAGAAAAAGCACATCCATGCACCTTATTTTTAACCCAGAAAAAAGACTTCATTTGTATCTTATCTAACAAGCACTCCTGCATACTCCCATAATTCTGAAAAACACAAGCATTCCATTATAGTAGTTATATAGTTATTCCAATTTATTATTGATCAATTACAAAGGCAGTCCCACCAAAACTAGCCACGTAAACAAACTATCAGTGCAATTTGTTTACAATTAAATAATTTTTTTTTAAAAAATTTAAATGACACAAACCTACTTTGTTCTTAAAATGCAAAATTGTTGGTCCATTTAGTTGGGCTTTAAAATACACTTTATTAGGCATTTTTGAATCAATTTAGAGAACACAAATTTTAATTTAACATAGATACGCAACCACTAATGAGATTAACAGAGGTTTGATTTTCTAATAATAAATTGTTATCTTATAAAAAATTTAATTTCACTGTTCAAGTAAATCTCTTGACATTCTAGGGAAGGTTGGGAAAACTTCCCAACAACAAACACAACCTAAAAATATGGAGATTCTGAATCAGAAAAGAGAATTTATCTAGAAAATTAGAGATGCTCCAAATCCGAAACAAGTTCAAAACATCTTACATGTATATATCATGAGCAAAATACATCTACAAGTGTATTGGAGATGATCATAAGCGAAAGGAAAGCTACTCATTCCAATCCTATATATTGAACACGCCCAGAACTTATTTAAGATTACAATTATGATTTTCAAAGTAAAAGACAAGCTAACTATTCCCATACCAAGACCAGATAAAATCCCCCATGTAATTTTATTGAAGACAATACCTCAGAAGATATGTTATCTTCCATCAACTATGGATTGAAAGTCAAGCCAGATCCAATTAGTTTCTGCTCAATTATGTTGTCAAGACGGTTTGCCATCTCAGGTGTGAGATGATTCTTCCAATCCCCCACCTTTCCCTTCCGAAAAAATACATTGTTTTCAACATTAGTTGCGAGTCTTGATATGCCATTCTTGTTTACCTCTAAGTTGCTCATAAACTCAAAACTGCACATCTCTATTATTTTTTGCACCATCCCTTGCTGTTCTTCCTCCAAGGAAAAAGGGTATCCCACGAATTCTGCCAATTTTTTCACATTCAATGTCGTATCCTTCATCATATCTTCATATTTCAAGAACAATACCTTCCTAGGCCTTTCCACACTAGCCCTCCAATATCCCAAAATATTGTCCCAGAATGGTCCAAACAAAGACTTCCCCTCACAATATAGCTCAAAGGCCTCCTCTAAAGAAATTGGTTCATTTTCTTTAGGCCTCACCTTGGCTATGTAGTGAAACAAAGAAACAAAAGCATCCCTTGGATCTCTACATATATAAACAATCTTACAGTCAGAATCTTTTACAGATTTTGGCAATGAAGCGTAGGGTGTGTGCGAGGCAATGAGTGGGAGCCCTGGCTCGCGTATATCTAGCTTTTTGCTAAAACTTCTATGGAAGGAAGGCATGCAAGTGTGAGGCGATTGGAAGAGCAGAGGGTTGGATGAGCTGTTGAAACGAGTTCGAGTAACAATGGAAAAAGTTAAGGCTTTAAGCCAAGTGGTGCCACTCTTTGGAGCGCTGCACACAAAGATATCGCTTGGTTCAGCCTTGTAGTATTTTTGGCCTAATATGATGCTTTCCGCATAGTAGGGAAAGCACCAAAAGCCTTGATATAAGCAGAGAGGCTTGAGGGTCCTCCAGCCATCCTCAGTAGGAAGGCTTGAGATTGTGTCCCCGATTCTTTCCATTTCCAGAGAGACAACTTGGTCTTCATAATTGGAGATATTGCTTGCCAATTGGGTTTTTTCCATACAGTTTTTTTGAATGCTTTGCAGATGGATAGATAGGAGCTTACAGGAAAGTCGGATTATTGTGATTTG